TTAGCTTACTGTAATTAAAATAGATTTAACCCTTTATTCTACACATTGTACATTTTACTTTGGTAAAAGTAAATGCTAGTGGTAAATCAAAGAAAATAAGTTAAAGCAGATAAGCTTTATTTTAAATCATAAATATTTTGCATTCAAGTAAATACTCTGAAGTATTATTTTAATTGGTTTAAAACAATTTAGCTTTGGTTTTAAGAGGTTGTTTATGATAAAATCTAGTTCAAAGTGAAGCTGGAAAGCCTCCTTCATAATTAGGCATCTTTATAAACAATTACTGATTACCTAAGGCTATTTTAGTTCCATACACGTAGACGACATATACAGTGTGTACTGCATCTTAAAGGGGATCCACGATTACTTGCAAGATTAGACATTATAAACATTTACTTAAACTGTAGAACAAAGATTTCTGACAGTTTTCTGAACAAATCTTGAACTTGTTCCATGTCTATCTCTATTACTCCTTGGCTAATAATAGTTCTGACTGTGTGTGTTTGTGTGAGTCTGATTCTGTTAGCAAAATATCTGTTATAGCCAAAGGACCTTATGAAACAACAACAAAAAAAGACTATATTTCAGTAAATTTGACACGTTTAATTAAACCTGGTGTGGCAGTGGCTGAGACTGATCCCAACACACGTTTGTCGCAGACAAATTGTGTAACATCTTTGTTTAAAAGTTTGCCATTAACTATTAATAATTTGGCCAATATAAATCTCTGGCATGAAAGGCAACATGATATGAATGAATTCCTATAAGGAAGTTTGCACCTTTTTTTACTTTCATCATTAATAGTCATGGTTAGACATGAACATTGGTGGTGGTCAGGGGCGGTTCTAGGGGTGGGGCCACTGGGGCATTGGCCCCTGCTGAAATCTGATTGGCCCCCTGAAGTGCCCCTGTCCTGTCACTCATCTGTCGTTTGCCTGAGAGCAATGATGGTGGGTGCAGTTCCATGCCCAAACACTCGAGGTGCTAATGAGTCAAACAGCAAAGTCCAGCATGAATCAATATTACAGAGGTCTTATCTCTTCTCTTTTTATCTTCTTTAAAATACTTGAACAATTTTGCAAAATATCTTTCAACTAGTAAATAATGGCTTCATTTTTTCTCATGCTTTTAGAATGCTTTTTCCATGTACAGTAAAATTGATATGGAGAATTAAAGCTTTTTTTAATAACATTACATTACGTTACCATTGTTGGATCATATGTGACTGGTTAAATTTATGTACCTCACCAAAATTTAGGATTTATGTGCAAGGATATTTAACAAATATTTGGCCCCTCTATGAATATTGTGGCCTCTTGATGGCCCCTTACTCAGAAAAATCCTACACCCACCACTGGTGGTGGTTTCAGATTTTACTGAATATCTTTGGATCTCTATACAGGAGAAAATATAAATTACAGTTGTTCTCCAGTGCATTAAGTCATTAAAATAATCAAACAACTTATGTTTCTAAAAAAAAAACCAAACAAGTCTGGTTTCTGCCTTTATCTGCGTTTCATAACTGCATCAACACACCTGTATAGTCCAGAGTCTAATGTGTGTTTTTATTCAGCTGTCAGCAAAGATAAACAAACTGGATTAATGTAAATTATTACACATCACTATGGCTACTATAAATCCATCCATTGTCTGACGTGTGTGTTTTAGTAACTCTTGTAATGTGTCGACTCATGGTGATCATCTCAGGGTTGTACAAACAGGAAATCACAGCCTGGTTTCTACTCAGCTGACCACTGGTGAAACATGTGTGAGGCACATGTCACTGGCGTGTGAGAAGCTTGACTCAGACGGTACACCTGTCAAGTTCAGGTAAAGGTAAGCTGAAGCTCAGTGCAGGAGCTGGAGAGGTTTCTCTTTACTGCAAGAGGAGAACTGTCTTCATATAAATATAACACGTCATTAAAATTAATTCTGTCATTTGTCTTTTAAACATTGTGACTGCCTGGAGAAGGTAATTAAGTTACAGCATGTGATTATTTACCATAAATATGTCATAAAGATAAGTCATTACATTAATGGTACATAATGGTATTGACTATGAAATAAACAGCTTGATACTGTTCATGGTTGCATAAAGCCGCACACTTACCGTTCTGGATCAAATAGTATCTAAATTTATAAAGAAATAGTCAAGACATCTTTTACGTTTCTGTAAACTCTTGAATAAAAGCAATGATTGATGCCAGCTCTCAGGATGTTTGTCTCACAAAGTCCTGCTGCTTCTCAGAACTAGGACAAAGCAGTTCTGGACCAAGGGTCAGAGCGCTGCGGCTGCTCATTCACCATGAAGACAATGACGAATTAAAGCTGCTGTCTGCTGCAAAAACACGTTGTCGCTGTTCTTCACAGACTTGTTAATAATGAATCTTACAGAAAAGTCAAATAATAATTAAATGCCTTGCATTTCTCAGAAAAATGCACATCAACTAGTTTTTCATGGCTAGGTTTAAAATGTAGACATTTGTATTGAAATGCATAAAATGTAAGAATCTTGTGCACCAGCTGTGTTTATAAAGATCTTTAAATTAGGGCTGTGTACTGGAAATAATTTGGCGATATGATAGATATCATGACACAGGTGTGGCAATACGATATACCTATATATATATATGTATATATATATATATATATATATATATATATATATATATATGTATATATATATATATATATATATATATATATATATATATATATATATATATATATATATATATATATATATATATATATCATGATTTATTGCGATATATTGCAATACTGTAAGCAAGGTGTTATATTTTTGTTTGTTCTGCTCTCTGGCTCCTCAGGAGTGGAGGAGCCAAATGACTGGCTGACTGCTGCCTACTAGTGGTCAGAGGCTAAACTACAACACAAAAATCAACCATTGGCCTGAAAGTTTACTTTTCAAACCATAATTAAAATGGATACAGGGCTTTAGAGAATCGATATAGCATTGGGAAATTAAATATTGCGATATTTCAGTGTATCGATATTTTCTTACTTTAAAACAGCCACACTATCAAAATACTTTAAACTTTAAAATAATAAAAAAAAGTAAAAAAGCCCAAAGAAAAAAAATCAAATAAAGCACAAATCAGTTAAATAACCTGACAAGTCAACATCTCAGATGGTGTCATAAAGAAAAGATAAGAGCTGGTTTAAGAAGAGATTTAAAACAGGTGGGAGGGACGCCTGTCTGATGTCCAGAGGCAGGTGAGCTACACAAGAATCACTTAATTCAACCAAGACATGGATTACTGTCTTTACTTTTAACCAAACACTGCTCTGATTGGTTGGTTTATTTGGGCTCAAGAACCCACCCGAGTGTAGAAGAATCCATTCAGTTATGAAGTTCGTGTGTGAGTCCATGTCCATGACCAGGTGCAGCTCTTACCTTCAGCAGTTTGGCCACATTAGGGTTGAACGTTGGTGTTTTGATGTACTGAAGAAACAGAACACAGATCCTCTTCCTCAGGCCCTGGAGATTGCATGACCTGACCTCACGGGACATCAGGTCCACTTCCTGGTTCACCAAATCCACGATGTCTCGAGTCAGCTGACAGTCCTGCTTCTGTTCAAACAGAACCATCACATCACTCACAGTGACAACAACTTCTGTCTGCCTGATCTCATCTCTGTCGTTTTTTTTATTGTTTTGCTGCTTCAGCCTTTTTGTTTTTACATCGAGTCCTCACATGAGTCTGAAACCTTCACCTCTTTCACTTCAAAACCTCAAAAATTCATCACCAAACAAAACAAAGGCACAATCAGCTCATAGTTGTAAAAAAATGTCCTGGCTGTGTTGTGTATGACCTTGACAGTGTCTTTTAGAGTCATCAGGAAGTGCTGTCTCTGCTCCCTGTCCACGGGCTCCATGCTGATGTTGTTGTAGAGATCTCGCAGCTCTCGAGCTAGGAGGATGTGAGGAGTGTCCATCTCCAGAAGACGACCACTGGCTGCTCTCCACCGATGAGGAGCTGCAGACTGGAACCCAAACATCACTGCATTAGTCCTGCTGCAGGTAATGTGAGGTACAATGTCTGGTTGACAAGGGTCCTGTGAGTCTCAGAGGCTCACAGCCTGAACGCTTCAATCTGCAACATGTTCATAAAATGTGTGCACCACAAACAGTCACAGAACCACGGCAGGCATCTCAAATCTGTGGCGTTAGAGCTGTCGTTCAACTCTCCCCTGATAGAAAACATGTCCAGGTCTAAAGAGCTGAATATAAAAAAATACTTTATTTTATTCATAAATCCGCAGAAATCTGAAGAACACTTCCAAAACAAGCCATTTCTAATAAGTCTATAATATAAATATTAATTTCCATGTTATTTTTGATCAAATCTATAGGGCATGTGGCCCCAAAGCTGCAGGCTCTAGGAATAAAATAATAAACCAGAAAAACCATCATTAGTGTCCTGTTCAGACTGAAGATGAACTACTTACAGCTGCATGAAAAAGTATGTGAACCCTGTGGGATTTCTTGGATTTCTGCATAAATTGATCCTTAAATGTGTTCTGATCTTCATCTAAGTCACAACAATAGACAAACACAGTCTGCTTAAACTTATGCCACACAAAAGATTATGTTTGCACGGTTTTATTGAACACATGTAAACATCCACAGTGCAGGGTGGAAAAAGTATGTGAACCCCTAGGCAAATGACTTTTCTAAGAGCTAATTGGAGCCAGGTATCAACCAACCTGGAGTCCAATCAATGAGATGAGATTAAATGTGCCCCTGCCCTATTGAAAAAAAAAACACCAGTTTTGAGTTTGTTGTTCTTAATTGCTTGATGTGAATCATGCCTCGCACAAAAGAGCCCTCAGAAGACCTACGTTCAAGAATTGTTGACTTGCATGAAGCTGGATTGGGTTACAAAAGTGTCTCTAAAAGCCTTGATGTTCATGTGTCCATGGTAAGACAGACGGTCTATAAAATGGAGAAAGTTCAGCACTGTTACTACTCTCCCTAGGCGTGGGCGTCCTGTAAAGATGGCTGCAAGAGCACAGCCCAGAATGATCAATGGGGTGAGGAAGAATCCGAGTGTCAGCTAAAGACTTACAGAAATCCCTGACACATGCTAACATTTTTGTTGACAAATCTACGATGCGTAAAACATTACACAAGAATGGAGTTCATGGGAGGACACCACGGAGGAAGCCACTGCTGTCCAAAAAAAAACTTTGCGGCATGTTTGAAGTTTGCAAAAGAGCACCTGGATGTTCCACAGCATGACTAGCAAAATATCCTGTGGACACATGAAACCAATGTTGAGTTGTTTGGAGGGAACACACAACACTGTGTTGAGAAAAACAAACAAACAGCACAGCATCATTAAAACCTCCTCCCTACTGTGAAATATGGTGGAGGAGGTATCATGGTTTGGGGCTGCTTAGTTGCCTCAGGACCCGGAGGTTATTACTGCCAAAGGATGGTCAACCAGTTATTAAATCCAAAGGTTCACATAGTTTTTCCACCCTGAGCTGTAGATGTTCACATGTGTTCAATAAAACCGTGCAAACATATAATCTTTTGTGTGGTACAAGTTTAAGCAGACTGTGTTTGTCTATTGTTGTAACTTTGATGAAGATCAGAACACATTTAAGGATCAATTTATGCAGAAATCCAAGAAATCCCAAAGGGTCACATACTTTTTCATGCAACTGTACATTTATACATCTCCTTTTGTAAGTACTGATTACAAAGACAGTTTAAAGTTAGGAAGAATTATTTTAAGTGAGTGTGTGGTGTGAGATGAAATGGCCTCTGACCCTGTCCAGGAAGTCTTTGATGATTTTATCGTGGTTGTCAGCGTGGACGTGGATGCGATGGCGCTCGATGGAAGCGATCAGCTGCGTCTCCTGCTCCAACAGGGAGCAGAGAGCCGCCTTCCTCTCAGCTCCTCGCAGGGTTGCGTTTATCTGCTGCTCTTCATCTTTTCTCCACTCTGCAACACAAACACAGGGAACATATCTGACTCCATCACCATTAGTTAGCCGTTTGTGTTAACAAGCACTGGCCATGACAAAACCAGGAACAAGTCTCCACTGGTTGTTTCGAGTTACAGAATCTGGAAGTGTGGACTCTAAGCTATCCAATGATGTCAAACGCATGAAAATCCTTTAAAAGATTAAAGAAGATATGGCCAGCTTGCAAACAAAATTAGGGAGAAAACAGGCGTCAAAGTTTCAAACTGACATATCTGATCCAGTGAGTGGATATTTCTGTTCTCTCTGATTGATCTAAGATTTGGTTGCTTCAAAAACAGACAGGTGTATCTGCAGACTAAACTAAATTTAGCTGCTCAACATCAGGAAGTAAAACTAACCAAACCACCTCTGACCTGAGAAGAATGCTGGTCAATGAGCAGGTAATTCCTGGAAGTGATGAACATCAAAGAGGAAGAAGAAGCTTTATTTACAACCTGCCTTAAAATTTTTAAAGTTTTTACTAGCTAAAGGTTGGAATCAAGGTAGCAGCATGTTGGAGTAACTCTGTTATATTCATTTGAGATATTCTTATAAAAATTTTAATTCCTATTTTTCTGGGCAAAAACTGCTTTTTTGGATGATTTTTCTCTCTGTCATTAGATGTTGTGCAGCTGGAAGGATTTTTGCTAACACTTATTTTGCTTTTGGACATTTGTTATGATGTGTAACCACAGCACCATGGTGGTTTGGTATAACTGGGACCAGCTAAATAACATCTCAAAAGCTGTAATACCTCAACTACAGCCTCAACTACAGCCCCGAATGCCAGATGTATTGAAACGGAGGCACCGTGGATGCAGAGCAGGTGTAAAGAGCAGGAGGAAGTTCAAACCATCTCTTCCATCGATCATGATAGACAATGTTAGGTCATAGGGGAACAAGTTGGACAAATGCCAAGCCCTAACAAAAACCCAGCCAAAGTATCACTATATCATGTGTTTCACCAAGACATGGCAGCAGGATTATATCCCTGACTCCAACAAATTGAATTTTAAAACCAATGTTTATCCTAATCTATCTGTAACAGAAGCTATAATCAGTTTGCTGTTGATTAGTTTTGTGTTTGGCTAACTAATAAAAAAGCTGTTCTTGTTTTTAGACCTACTCTCCAGTGTGTGGTACAACAAGTTAAAGTCCTCCTTCCTCTGAGGGTTCATCCAGCGCTCACGCCGGTCCCTCAGCTGCTCGTTCTTCTCCTTCTGCAACCTCTCTTTCTGCATCTCCAGCCAGACCAGACGCCTCCTCCGCGCCCCCCTCAGCCGCTCCACCGCCTGCTGGGCCAACCAGCGGCGGGCAAACGTCTGCAGGCAGATAACCTATCAGACCAAAAATAAGGAATCAGATTTACATCAAATATTTCATTTCAGGATAAACTCAACGGATTATTTAATAAGCTGCAGTCATCATCAATATATCAAATATTTTCTCAGTAAACACACTGATAGAATGTTATTTTTGTTAAATTATACCCATTTTTTTTATCATCTGAAAGCATTAATGCAGAATGTAAAGTAATGTCTAGTTTGAACTCACAGCTTTCAGCCTCCTGTCATGAATCTCCTCAGCAGTGATGTATTTCCCAGGAGTCAGCAGTTTGTCATTCAGAGAAGGGATGAAGCAGCTGCTGCCAGTCATCTGAGTGCAGGCGTTGACCGGGCACTGCTGCATCTGACACTTCATCTCTGCTGTCTGGTAGAAAAACAAAATCTCACTCAGCTTAAATATTTCTTCTAAAGTGAAAGTAACTAGACTGACATTTTCTGTAAAGATGCTGAGGGATGAAATCTGATGAAGAACCTGAACCTTCACTGCTGAAGCTAAAAGCAGCGAAAGGTTAACTTAAAGTTAACCTAAAGTACAGTGATGCCTTAGTTTCATTTACATTTTATACATCTTACATCTTGTTATTGTAAATATTGATTAAGTTCTCAGTTAAAAGTTTATTTTCAGATCTAAATCCTGACTGTGGCTCTGAATCACGTGTTTAAACCATGTTTATAGAAAGCCTGGTCACACCCCCTAGGGGTGGTCCCTCTTACATCAGCATTGGAATGCTGAAAATGTAATTATTATATTTACACTGCTGGAGTGAGCCACGTGTTACATAGAGATTTATAATGATTATGACCAAACACAAACGATCTAAGACTGGATCTAGAATTCAATTAATCAACCACTAAAAATCCAAGTCACTGTAGTTGTTAGAATATTTAGATGTTTTTGTTTACCTGTGTGTCACGACTGAAGATGACCACTCCTCTGTCGGGCCTCCTCTTGGGCAGGGTCTGGACAGCAGCATGATGATACTCCACTCCTGTCAGCCGGTGCCTGTAACCTCCCAGGAAAGGCTTCTTGTGGCAGGAAAGCTCAATCTCCACCACCACCTCTTCAAACACCCCCTCCTCTGGAGATCAGAAAGACGAGAAGAAACCTTTGATCAGAGACGAACTTCATGTCTGAGTTTATAGTTCTTATAAGCAGTGTAGCTCAAGAGAAAAGATGAATAAATCAGAACACACATGTACAGACACAAAGCATCAACATAAATACAGCTGGATGAGCTATCTCTGTTAACTTCATTCATTTAATATAAATCAAACAAGAAATAGTATTATCACATGTCTGAGGGCAGCAGCAGCAGATCTGGATCCTGCACTGTAAAAAATAACTTCTAATATTTGCTAGAGCAAATCCTGTAAACGATTTGCACTAACGTTTGTTAAGTAAATTTAAATGCTACAAATTCATGTAATATTTACTCATCATTATCTAGTAAAAGTTATTAAGAATATAATCAAAGATTTGTGAATAAACCAATTAAATTTTACTTAATTTGCTCAATTAAATCTTGTAACATGCACTTGATCAAATGAAGTAAAATTTACCTGATTTATTCACAAATCTTTAACTATTCTTAATAACTTTTACTAGATAATGATGAGTAAATATTACATGAATTTGTAGCATTTAAATTTACTTAACAAATACTGTATTATTGTAAACTGTTATGAGGATTTTTTTCTAGTAAATCTTACAATTTCTTTATAACAGTACACATGCGTCAAGCACAATATTGTATCATGACACCTCACAGCTACAGAGAGAGGTGTAGCTCTTGTTGTAGTTCAAGACTTCACCAGCAGGTGGCAGTTTTAAAGAACCTTTATTGAATTCTTCTTCATGAACAACACAGACAAAGTGAAACTCACAGGTCTTATTAATGACTAGGCCTACCACTCTCATTTATGGTTACTTCTGCGGAACGGTTTAACACAAGTTAACAAATAATGAACACACAAATTAGAGTAACACAACAGACTAATTGCTGAAACAACAATGTTAACCAATTCCCTAAAATGATTTAACAACAACAAACATGAATCCTACCCACAATCCTCCACTGCAGTCACATGACAAACAGCCAAACACTGCAGAATGCTACAATATGCATTCCCTGTTCCCTGACAACTAAATATCACCTACATTATGCCATCAAACTACTGCACACCATCAAATGTATTCAAGCAAAAGAAACCAGACAACTTGTGTTTTATTTCCATCATGTCTTGTCCTCTCCTTGAAAAGTGAAGCAAGGGAATGAGGAGCAGCAGCCTTTGTGTGTGCATGCACCCTCAGTTTTTATCCCAGAAGAGTAGAAGTTACTTAACATATTCATGTTTATGTGCTGTCCAGAAAAAGCACTTAAATATTACTGGTAAAATAATATTAGCATTTACTTTTTTTGTACAGTAATATTGATATATAATATAATATGTATTGTTTATTTAGTAAATTCTAGTAGTTTAGAAATTTTGATATTTTTTTGTAAAATTTAAAAGAATGATTAAATAAATGGTACTAAACCCAAAAATCCCTTTTTTTTTATCAGTGTGGGTTTCAGGGACCTGACGGGACTGAGCTGTGGGGCTGAGTCGTCTCACAGAAGACCAGCTCTGCACAGAAGAGGATTGTTCTTACCTCTCTGGACTTGGACAGTGATGACATCAGGCATGCTGTCGTGCTCCGCAGGACGAAGAGGGCGTAGCGAGTGGGAGCACGGGTCTGTGGAGCTCACCTCCATCCGGATGGAGCTGTGAGGCCGAACACCGTGCTCCATCAAACGTCTCTGCTCGTCCACCACCCTGCCTGCAAAACAAACACGGACATGTTTTCTCTTCCTGCGCGGCAGCTGGACAGAGACAGGAAGGTTCAGCCTCAGAGGGTCTCTTTATTTTATGACAAAGTCAGCCACTTTGTGGATCTATTGTAAATGTGTTTCTGGTTTTTATCACCGAACTAAAACAATTGTGCCAGAAGAGACGAGAGACTGGACCAGACAACCTGCAGCTGCAAAGGAGACGTCTTCTCCAGCCTGGCTGCTGAGGTCAGTGGCCCTAAAACGTGAAAGTGGAGCACCACCTAGTGAGCTACTATGAAAATCAAAAGTAGATAAATTTCTCTTTTTGTGTGTTTCCTCTGAGAACTGGGCAGTTTGACGTTTGCTAAGATGACTGACAGCTGTCTTAAGCCCCGCCCCCTGCATTGAAAGGCATTCTGCACAGAGGCCCAGCGCTGCTCTGCGATCACAGCACCCAGTCTTATACATGAATATACAGATTTTTAGTTGTTCTGGTGCTGTTCTGTGTAAAGCTCTGCTGAAACAGCTTCAGATCTTTGAGGGGATTTATTTAGTTTTATTTGACCCTGCTGTCCTGCTTCTTGTCACTGAATGTGATCAGAGACACGTGCATCAATGCTGCAGCGACAAACAGAATCTACTTCCAGATAGTTTTAATCTCTCAGCAGCCAGAGCCAGTCAGGTGCACTTTCAGCCTCCATGTGACCTTTTCTCCTGCTACTGGCTGTAAACCTGCTGCTCTTCAATATTTCTGCTCAAGTAAGTAATTTAGGTACAGACGGGAGAATGCTCCCAAAGTGGAATATGACAGAATATTTTATAAATAATTCTTTTGTTATGGCTGCTTGGCATGAAAATCAAGACTATAAATTTCATTATTGCACAGTTTTGAATTTAAAGCGGTGACAATGTGAGTAAATGTGACTTTTTTCTACCACGAATCAAACAGTTAATTTATTTAAAGGCACAGTGTGTAGGATTTGTTGTTTTCAGCGACTTCTAGTG